AGAGTTGATGGCTTCTAAAAACTCGCGGCCTTTCTTGTATGGACAAGAGCCAGCAATGCAAGAGACGACAGCCTATCCGGACTAGGGAAGCGAAAACCAGCCACCACCGACCGCAGGATTAATCGCGGTCGACAATTGGATCCCAACCGACCGCATAATTAAATGCGGGTGACGATTATGCACTATTACTTTACCACTATATAAGCTTCTGTCAGCCGTAATTTTGAATTAACTGTTTCGTACAATTTCCATCTGTCTAACGACGAGCTGGTGTGCCAGTGTCGAAAATTTACACAATAAACCGCCGTTTTACGAAGAACTCCTTCTATCAAATTATACTTCTTGGGATGCCGATTTTCCAGTTCATTTAATGTACTATAGGCTTAGATGTTACAGGCAGATATGTATTTTCAACAAAAATAAGGTAAACTGGAATGGCCATTTCTGGCTTATTAGCCGTCATCAGCCAGCCATACCCAACCCCAGGGGGTGAGGACCTCCGAGGTTCGGACCCGCGACCCCGTTAGTTAGAAGTCCAGCGCTCTAACCAATGCGTCACGGGCTCGTTGCCTTGCCGGTCTCAATCGGGAATATGTACAATGGTAGATGGGCGCTCACCGCTGGGCACAGAACTCATTCGTTCCGTTGCGCCCTGGAGATCGCTCTCGAGCCTCGGTAGCAGCCGCTCAACGGCTAACGTGTACTATAGGCAGAAATATATCACCGACAAAGACAAAGGAGACTGGAATGGCCTTTGCTGATGAAACAACCTGCACTGTAGTGGCCAGGTCATTAGAAGAGAACGAGTTGTACATCTTATAAGATTATCGGTATGTACACAGATTACTCTTGTAACCATTATGCCATTATTTGTTGCGTATACACCTTTCCTAGACCTAAAGATTAGCAATGGAATGCGAGTGAACTGAACTAAATTTTTGATAAATGATTTCGTTTTAATAGGGTGTTTTATATAACACGTGATGCAAACTTACTCCGCTGGTTTTCCGGGTGGTGGATGTGGATCAACTTTCACCAGCGCCATAGTGTTGGCGATCGTGCGCACGGGCACCCCGGACATGAAAGGCCATCCCAAAAAGGCAGACAATAGCGGGAACACAACGACGGTGACAACGTGATCCATCACAAAAGGACTAGGCTTTACGGCCTTCGGCTTTAGAGCAGTCACGCTAAATATGAAAAAACAAAAGAGAAACAGCATAAGTACATGATGATAAGCCATAAATAAATCCAGCAGGTAAATATTTTCTACAATCCTACAGTGCAAGAGTGGATACAAAGGAGGTAAGTAGTTAATTAGGAAGGGCGGGGATAATTTTCAGTTCATCTGTATTGTCTTTCTCTCCGCCAACAGGCCACGCCACAAAGGAAGTCATTTGTTTGCAGTTCTCGGTCTGCCTCTGGGATAACCAATCATAGGTACCGGAAACTGCGTCAACGCTAAACATCTTGCCTTTCGCGGCTACTAGCATGTGCCTGATCCGTGTAGATTGTACACGTTCGCTCATCCGATAGTCAACATCTTCCAATCTATTCGCCACTACCTTTGTACAGTGTACACTAGTCCTTCCACCTGGCGTCTCACTTCTTCCCTTCGCACACAGAACCGAGCCTGAAGATCGCAGCGACCTGCTAACTTAGCCTACTGCGAAACATACTCTTCTGAAACTGCTTTTGTTGATTATTTTCATAGCGGCGCGAGAGGTCAGACTAATAACACTCTTGCTCCAGTGATTTCTCCCCCTTGCTCGCAGTGTTCAAGTACCTTCTCCGACGAACGGGGTTAAGACTGTAAGACATTTTATTGGAAAACAATGTGTCGCCTCTATTTTTTTTATTCTACTGCCCAGTAGCACGTGAAATCTATGAAATTCCCCCTAGTCCTTTAAAATTCCAGTCGTTATTAGCGGCATAACGTAATTTTCTTCATGCACAAATAGACAGTCAATATAGACAGTCAGCATTGTTCCAGATTCTGAGCCGAGAGACTCCTTACTGTATATGGCTGACACTTCTTCAGTCAAAAATTACTTTTGCTAATAATGGTGGGCTTCATTTCTCAAGAAAAATATAGTTAAATTGTTCACTAGGATGTATAGCCGCATGTTTCAGCCATCTGCTAGTTAAGACGGTAGGTTGTTTCACTTTCCTGAGTTTTTGCGCAACAGAACAACGGGTTTCTATTACCACGTCTTGCCAAGGATCTAGTCTATCCTTCCCAATCAGATACTTCAGGAGTAAATCTCTTATCGATAAAAGTGCAAAAGTATAGATTTGCATTCCGAAGAGTGAATAGTGATAGAAAGTTTGAACCAAAAGTTCCTTAATCCAGTCCTCTGAATAACCACATCTTCATACGCGCTTCTATCCTCCTTCCGCCACAGAGTCTAAGCGTGTGACTGACGTCTTCTGAAGTTTGTTATTCCGTACATTCTTTAGCTGCCTTTATGGGAAATTAACTCATTTGCCGAGGTTATTTGCATTTCACGTTATCCACTGGAAATTAGTTTTCTAATAACGTATTACCTACAAAGTAGTAGTCAGATCTGGCGCAGAGACTAATAGTAGATATGCAACTGTACATACAGTTCAGATGCTAAACAAATGAATCAAAGTAAGCCAGCTAGCGCAATTACCCTGTACAAATGTTAAGACGCAGAATAATTGTTTGTTTTACAAGTTAAATGTATTCTGTTATGTTAACTTTCTACATTAAAGTCCTATTTCCGACAAAGTTAATGAACTATCTGAAAGCTATTTAAACATTGCAAGGCAGCACATTCAATCGACTGATAGTTCCCCATTTTCATCTGAGATCCAAATGGTGGCAAGACAGCAAAATTCTGATTATCTCGAAAAGTTTTACCTCGCTAAACTGTAGAGCCTTCTGGAAGACTGCAGTTTAATTTATTCGACCCAAGCTGTCCTCCCCGCTAATTGAAATGTTACCAAATGATTTTCAATAGACTATTAACGGGAACGAAACCAAATGTATTGCTAATTCTAAAATAAATTATTAAAAATAGTATAGTTAAGATTTTTAGCTAGCTTCTTGTCATGTGCGCTCAAAAGGAAGTTAATATGATTGTATGGACAATAAAGCAACCTTTCGAATCCCTAGAGGTAATTGAGAAGGATCAGATATGATCGCTGGAGCAAGAATTTTATTCACCTGGCGTTTCGAATTCCATCGGCCTATATCCTATAAGCAACTGCATATTTTTCTTGTCGTGACAGTCGGTCACCGTCTATAGGATCCGGTGCAGTTGCGAAGAAAGCAACTACGTTGGAGAAACTTGATGAATTATCTGGACGCTAATTTTCCAACACACGGCAGCAGTAGAGAGAAATGAGGCCAACCACACATTCAGGTTTGATGTAGCCACAATTCTCGCGAGAGTTGACATCCTTATGAGTTGCGAGTTACCTGAGTCATGATTCACGGACTCCCCGTCTATAAAAAAAATTCATCATTCGGGGGAAAACACAGGCCAACGCGTCACCTAACGCCAGTGTCAGGGTGCTACATAGCCGAACGATTAGGACAATCAAGTCGATCACGGATGATTAAAGTTCAGTAGGTTATGACTCGCATGCCGGCTATCAAGCAATTAGCGCAAAAGTGAGCAACCCTCTACGAGAAGGTTACCGTTAACTGTCATATGTATGCAGTAGCCTAATTACTCTATCCTATAAATACTGCAACTCTCTGTGCATTAATTACCCGTTTCTGCTAGGGTCTCAGATGAAGGATCCGCGACTGATTTGAAAACGCCAGGTGGGAAGACTTTTTATCCCAGTGATCAGATCTACTTCTTTTCAGTCATCTCCTCGGACCCGCATGTTCGCTTAAAGTGGCAAGCATGAGACATGTCACCTTTTATCAGCGGTTGCACAAGCTCTTATAACTTCGAAAGGTGTCTCGAGTACACACTGTGACGCAGACGATAAGAAACGTTATACGAAGGACAGCCTACCTGTTGAGTGCTGTTTCCGTAAAGACGAGGACTGCAGTGAAAAATCCAAGAAAAGCGGCATTTCCGTGGACGATGGAAAACTGCGGTCGCGGGATGTTCACAGCGTCTGTCAGGTTAACAATCTGTACTAACATCGACACACTAAGGTCTGAAACAGGTGGAATGTCCAACGTTTTGACCTTGTAGTCCGCAAAGAAGGTTCGTTCTACCAGAGTCACAAAGATTATTCCCAGAGGCACATTGAAGGCGCCAACCCAGTATCGGAACTGTAAGGATTAAAAAAGATTTGCTAGGCATAAAGGCGTTCAACTACAAATGAAACATCTAAATATAACTTTGGAGAACACCTATGACAGCCCGAAACTTTTGAATGAGACATATTTGCCAAATTGATAACAGTCGCTTTTAGTGATCCGAATAGCACACGAAAAACTGATCGTTGTATATTACCGGCGTAAACAAAGATTATACAGTACGTGCAGTTCGGAAGAAGGAAGAAGTAAACTAAAAGCAGAGCGGATAAAAGAAGAAAACCCAGGAACAATTATTTAAAGAAACTAATGTTCTCCAAAACACTGCAGCATAAAAAGAGAAATACAACCAATAGGAAATAAGGATTCCGCGAAATGTACAAGTACGAAAATATCTGGAACTGCACACCTTTGCGGAACAACGCAAAGAACTGAAAATTCTGGAGAGTAAAGTTGAGTAAAATAAAAACCACGTGCCATTAATAAATCTAAAACTAAAACAAAACTAAATTAAACTAACGCAAGGAAGGTAGACTAAAGTAGGTTAAACTAACTAAACTAAATACTAATCTACAAGTAGGCTAAAATAATAAAACATAATGATAAAGGAAAAAGTGAACAAAAGTGAAACGAAAAACTGAACTGAATAAGACAGAAGTTTAATTTTGTCTGCAGAACAGCAAGTGGAAACCCCATTCTTCTGTAAGACGGGACGGGTGGTTTTGCAGGAAGTACGAGTCAAGTAAAATAGGGGTGCGTGGAAAAATAAAAAAGGATAAAGTTTGACGATATATATATAAAAAGTTAGTAAATGGTATAGGAAAAATGCGTGATAATTGGAAAGTTAGGGAAAAGGAATTTGCGGCAAAACAAAGGCAAGTGAATTAATCATCGACAAATAACTGAGCAGTTCAGTAGACAATGCGAAACCCAACCAATAGGAAGCAGGAAATGCGAAGGTAAATATCACCAATTGAACACAATTATGTAACCATGTGTCATGTGGTATTTTACATTTATGCATTTCTTCCTTTTCAGGGAGATCGAACGTGAACGCCCTGACTGACTTGGCGGAACTGAACCCTGATGGTAACGAGTTGTGAAGTGTTGTGTGACTTTAGCGTGTGACGTTCGAATATTTGGTTGCCAAGCGTTTTATTAGTGAGTCTCATCCTTTCGTTATCCCTGGGCTTGCCTTTATATACGTCAACCATCTGTGGTCGTAAAATCTAACGGCCTATCCATTTTCGCTAAAAGGTTGAAGCTTCTCGCACATTGGTATACGGTTTATTATGGATAAAACCAAGGATGCCCACTGAGCCTATGCAAGATGATGATTTTCAGCCAAATAAAGACGGAAATGTCGATGAAATATAAGTGGATGCCATAACGTATAAAACATTAATGACAATAGTTTATTTTTGATGGTCATTTTAGGAGAAGATAATAAAAAAGTTACCCAGGATGGAAAGCAGGGCGGCGTTCATTTTTCGCTTTAGTGAAAATACATGTTTAACTGGTCGTCTTGCCTTTTCTGATAGCGATTAAGTTATTTCTTATTAGTGTAAGGGGGAGAGAGTGAGAGGGTTGCGTTCGCCAACAATTACCTGGATTAGTTCGTCGTTAGAGCTTACAAAAATAGTACGCCTGATTTTTCGAATGGCAGTCGTCGCCAGTAGCTAATGCTCTTTCGTTTTATAGTTTAGCAAAAAGAGGGGACGAAGGGCGGTTTAAAAAGATGGGCTGACGAAATCTGAACAGATATTTGAATTTATAAATGGGAACGACATCGTGTTCAAACGTCAGGCCTTCGGACTAATTGCGAAGGAAGTCAAATGCCTGCGTGACGCAATATGCTTCAAGAAGTATGGCGGCAGAAAGTGCTGGTATATTGTTTCGCTGTTTGAAGTGCTGAAGAAGGCCATCTCTGAGGAGTGGTTTAATTTTAAAGGAAGCCACTTGAGCATTAGAGCCGCGCTAATGATAATGCTGCATTTGTTCGTGAATTGAGAGTGAATATCCACAAGGATGACAGCGGAATAGTTCACCTAACGGCTGTTACTTGAAACCGGTTCTGCCGCAACGTATGTAGTGCAATTTTTTAATAAGAAGGGCCAACGCGGCGGGCCCGGAGTGGAAGTGCAAGTCGAGTAGACCTTGATCAGTCGTCGGACATACAATAAAGGAGAGGAGAAAGCTGTGGATTCTGGGAATCTATGAGTATGAAGCCCGCAAAGGGGTCCTCGCCCACGTAAACAGTCGAAGCTGGAATGATATCTGTCCCATTTTGATGAAGTGAATAAAGAAGGGCTGTGTAGTCATAACATACGAATAGAAACCGTACAAGGACCTGGACCTTAAAGGCTATACGCACGGGGCTGTTAATCCCTCAAAACATTTTAAGGATCCAACAACAAGTCAGCATACTTACTTATTTACTTCTGTAATTAGGCAAACACACTTATGCTATAGAAAACCACTGGAGTAGGCCCAAGCGGAAACTGCATAAACGAGGACCAGTCCGCGGACGCTCCATATGCGAGCACGTAGACGAAGTCCAATACAAACTGTGGTGTGGTCTGTATTCGATGGGATTAACCGCGTCATAGACTATATTTTTTGTACTGTGTCGCAGTGATGCCTTTAATGCAAGACAAAGGTGATATAATGACTGACGGAAAGCAAGTTGAATGAGCTGTACACCTCTATATACACCTCTATATATAGTCAGTCCCCAGTAACGAGCAAGCAAGCTTTACCTATGCTCGAAGGTCGATAAGTAGTTGAGGACAACTAAGTAATGACGCCTGCACAAGGTGATGGGACTTGCAATTGCGAAAGGTCGTATGTCAAAACGGCCTAAATAGAGTTAGGGGTGGGGAAGGGGTCAATATTAGTTCGGTATGGAGTGTGTTTTAGTAAACAGCCATGCTCACTAACGAAGAGCGGACCCGACTTGTAAATGCGAAAGGTCATATGTCAAAATGGCCAACTTAGATTTACGTGGGGGGGTTATATCATATTTTGAGATTGATTATATCGTAGTAAGCTGCTATGCTCGCTAAGGGAATGTGTAAGAGAAAGTGTTCAAATTATATTTACGTGGGGGGTCAATGTTATATCCGGATGTACTGTGCCCTGGAAAGCAGCCATATTGGCTAACGAAAAGTGGACGCGACTTGTAAATGCGAAAGGCCAACTTACAGTAGGTGACATATCTGATGAAAGGTTGAGGATTGGGGGCTTTAACACAAACTTGAGGTCGTTTATTAAGTTCATTGGGTTGGCTTGAGGGGCAAAATGCGGTTTACTAGAATTGAATTCCATTCAGATCAGTTAAGTTGGAGAAAATATAGGCGGAAACGGGCGAAATACAACCTTTGTTGATTTCCAAGGAATGTCCTATGGCTATTAAGCGCTGCGGAGAAAAGATTCACATTTGTGCGTGCTGAAGTATAACAATACATTCAAAATAAGCAGATGTTTTAATTGTATTTGTTCACTACAGAGGAAATTTTGTTTTGCGTCCATGAAATTGAGGTAAGTGTACTTACGAGACACAGCACTATAGTCGAGAAAGGTTGATGAATCTAGTTAACAAATGTTTGCTCTACAAATATGTTACGTTTTGTGCCCTAAGGATAAGTAATAAACTTACAAGAGGCACAAATGTGTTTTACTAAGCCGAAATTAGAAGGCCTATTTGAATTTAGATGGACTTCCTCGAAATCTCATATGTTTTCTAATTAACCATGCAAACTAAGTCCATCCAAATGTTGTCAAAATATATACGAAAATCAATAAACATCAAAACTCCAAACGGAAGAAGTAAACGATTATCATGCTTAAGAATATTGGAGGATATTTTGGGTCACTGTTGTGCAATTAAAATCAAAGAATAGTGCCCTGAAGTAAAAGAACGTATTGAAAACTACTCTGGTTTAAGTAGAAATGTAAGTTCTTTCACTTCCAGCACAGTTTTTTCCTTTAGGTTTTAGGGAAGTCAAAAACCGGTCAAAATATCCCAATTTGATCTAGACTTTAACTTCGAAAAAGGTATCGTACACAGATATTCGACTTCGAAATATCTAACTAAAGCGCTTCTTGAGGAGGTAACATGTTCTAGAAAGGAAGAAGGAAGATAGCAGGTCGAGCACCTGATCAATTGATTTATTGTTCTGAGCTTTTGAACACTTACAGGTGTCCATCTCCAGAGATGAGAAAGCAACCAAAAAAGAGG